CGCTTCCCTTTGTAGGTAATCCGACCTTTCTCTCTGGCTGCCCTTAACATTTTTTCCTTCATTTCAACCTTGGTGCATCTGACAATTATGTGTCTTGGGGTTGCTCTTCTTGAGGAGTATCTTTGTGGTGTTCTCTGTATTTCCTGAATTTGAATGTTGGCCTTCCTCGCTAGGTTGGGGAAGTTCTCCTGGATAATATACTGAAGAGTGTTTTCTAACTTCTTTCCATTTTCCCCATCACTTTCAGGCATACCAATTAAATGTAGATTAGATCTTTTCACATAGTCCCATATTTCTGGTAGGCTTTGTTCGTTGCTTTTCACTCTTTTTTCTCTAATCTTGTCTTCTCACAGTATTTCATTAATTTTATCTTCAATCACTGATATCCTTTCCACTGCTTGATCAAATTGACTATTGAAGCTTGTGTATGCTTTACACAGTTCTCATGCTGTGGTTTTCAACTCCATCAGGTCATTTAAGCTCTTCTCTACACTGGTTATTCTAGTTAGCCATTCCTCTAACCTTTTTTCAAGGTTTTTAGCTTTCCTGCAATGGGTTAGAACATGCTCCTTTAGCTCGGAGAAGTTTGTTATTACTGATCTTCTGAAGCCTACTTCTGTCAACTTGTCAAACTCATTCTCCATCCAGTTTTGTTTCCTTGCTGGCAAGGAGTTGTGTTCCTTTGGAGGAGAAGAGGCATTCTGGTTTTTGGAATTCTCAGCCTTTCTGCTCTGGTTTCTCCCCATCTTTCTGGTTTCATCTACCTTTGGTCTTTGATGTTGGTGACCTATGGATAGGGTGTTGGTGTGGATGTCCTTTTTGTTGATGTTGATGATATTCCTTTCTGTTCGTTAGTTTTCCTTCTAACAGACAGACCCCTCAGCTGCAGGACTATTGGATTTTGCTGGAGGTCCACCCCAGACGCTGTTTGCCTGGATATCATCAGCGGAGGCTGCAGAACAGCAAATATTACTCCCTGGTCCTTCCTCTGGAAGCTTCATCCCAGAGGGGCACCTGCCAGAATGAGGTGTCTGTTGGCCCCTACTGGGAGGTGTCTCCCAATCAGGCTACATGGGATCCGGGACCCATTTTAGGAGGCAGTCTATTCATTATCGGATCTCGAATGCCATGCTGGGAGAACCACTGCTCTCTTCAGAGCTGTCAGGCAGGCACATTTAAGTCTGCAGAAGCTGTCTGCTGCCTTTTGTTCAGATATGCCCTGCCCCAGAGGTGGAATCTAGAGAGGCAGTAGGCCTTGCTGAGCTGTGGTGGGCTCCACCCAGTTCAAGCTTCCCTGCCACTTTGTTTACACTGTGAGCATAGAACCACCTACTCAAGCCTCAGTAATGACAGACGCCCTTTCCCCTCCAAGCTCCAGCATCCCAGGTTGATCTCAGAGTGCTGCACTAGTAGCAAATGAGGTTCCATGGGCATGGGACCCATGGAGCCAGGCACAGGAGGGAATCTCCTGGTCTGCCAGTTGTGAAGACTGTGGGAAAAGCACAATATTTTGGCAGCAGTGTCCCGTTCCTCCAGGTACAGTCACAGCTTCTCTTGGCTAGGAAAGGGAAATCCCCTGACCCCTTGCACTTCCTGGGTGAGGTGATGCCCTGCCCTGCTTTGGCTGCACGCACTATCCAACGAGTCCCAACGAGATGAACCAGGTACCTCAGTTGGAAATGCAGAAATCACCTGTCTTCTGTGTCAATCTTGCTTGGAGCTATAGACCGGAGTTGTTCCTATTTGGCCATCTTGGAAGCAACTCCCCCATCAAAACAATTTCTTATTCAACATAGTAGCAGAGCCAGAATTGCAAATGGGTAGTGTGACTCCTGGCCTATACTCTTAACCACCATGCAAATGATAACTGTGTAAATGCATTTAATGTTTACCTAGAAATTCCGTTTATTTTTAAAGTACCTAAACAGGGAGAGGGCTCATATAATCAGGATTTTTCCCCTGCCCTATTATACAATGAAAGTGATAATCACAATAATCACTTAGGAATCAGAAATAATCTTATGTGCTCACTGAGTGAGAAAACAAACACTTGTTGTATTATCATTGTAAATTTTTGCAGTGGAGAGCTAGTATATATCATAAAGTGGAAGCATATGTAAGTTGAGAACACATTTCAAAAATTACCATTGCTTCTACAAGAAAAGCTACAAAACATTGCTGAAAGACATCGTAGACAACATAAACAAATGGAAACACATTCCATGCTCATAGATTGGAATAATCAATATTGTGAAAAGTACCATACTGCCTAAAGCAATCTACAGATTCAGTGCATCAAACTACCAACATCATTTTTCACAGAAGTAGAATAAACAATCATAAAATTCATGTGGAACCAAAAAGAGCCTGAACAGCCAAAGCAATCCTAAGCAAAAGAACAAATCTGGAGACATCCTGTCACTGGTCTTCAAAGTATGCTACAAGGCTATGGATACCAAAACAACATGGTACTGGGGGGAAAAAAGTAGATGCATAGACCAGTGAAACAGAATACAGAATTCAGAAATAAAGCCAAATACATACAGCCAACTTATCTACAACAAAGCATACAAAAACATAAATTGGGGAATGGACACCCTATTTAATAAATGATCTTGAGAAACTGGAAAGCCACATGTAGAAGAATGAAACTGGATTCCCATCTCTCACCTTATCCAAAAATCAAGTCGAGATGGACCAAGGACTAAAACATAAGACCTGAAACTAAAAATTCTAGAAGACAACATTGGAAAAACTCTTCTAGACATTGGCCTAGGCAAATAATTCATGACTAAGACCCCAAAAGCAAATGCAACAAAAATGAAAATAAGTAAATGGAACCTAATTTAAAAGTTTCTGCACAGCAAAAGAAATAATCAGCAAAGTAAACTGACAACTTCACAGAAGGGGAGAAAATATTTGCAAGATGCATCCAACAGAAGACTAGTTTCCAGAATCTACAAGGAACTCAAACAGATCAGCAAGAAAAAGAAAACAAATAATCCCATTAAAAAGTGGGCAAAGACCAGGACTGGTGACTCACATCTGTAATCGCAGCACTTTGGGAGGCCAAAGTGGGTGAATTGCTTGAGCTCAGGAGTTCGAGACCAGCCTGGACAACGTAGTGAGACCCCCATCTCCACTAAAAATACAAAAATTAGGCAGGCATGGTGGTGCACACCTGTAGTCTCAGCTACAACTGAGAGACTGAGGCTTAAGCATCACTTGAAACCTGGAGGCAGAGGTTGCAGTGAGCTGAGATTGCGCCACTGCACTGCAGCCTCAGCAACAAAGCAAGACTCCCTCCGGGAAAAAAAAAAAAAAAAAAGTGGGCAAAATGGGCAAAGGACATGAATAGACATTTCTCAAAAGATGATCTACAATGGGCAAGAAACATGAAAAAAATGCTCAACATCACTCATCATGGAAAAGCAAATTAAAACCACAATGAGATATCACCTTACTCCTGCAAGAATGGCCATTATTAAAACATCAAAAAGAAAATAGATGTTTACACGGATGTGGGGAAAGGGAATGCTTACACACTAATGGTGGGAATTTAAATTAGTACAACCTTTGTGGGAAACAGTAGGGAGATTCCTTAAAGAGCTAAAAATAGATCTACCATTTGATCCAGCAATCCCACTACTAGATATCTACCCAAAGGAAAAGAAGTCATCATATGAAAAAGACACTCATGCATGTATGTTTACAGCAGCACAATATACAATTGCAAAGATGTGGAACCAATGTAAGTGCCCATCAACTAACGAGTGGACAAAGAAAATGTGATTTATATACACCATGGAATACTACTCAGCCATTAAAGCAATGAAATAATACCTTTTGCAGAAACTTGGATGGAGATAGAAGCCATTATTCTAAGTAACTCAGGATTGGAAAACCAAAAACCGTATGTTCACACTTATAAGTGGAAGCTAAGTTAGTTACGAGTAGGCAAAAACATACAGAGTGATACAATGGACTTGAGAGAATCAGATGGGGGAGGATAGGGGCTGAGGATAAAAAAAAAAAAAACTATACATTAGATAACAGTGTACACTACTCTGGCCATGGGTGGGCTAAAGTCTCAGAATTCACCACTATATAATTCATCCATGTAACAAAAAACCACTTGTACCCCAAAAGCTTTGGAAATAAAAAAATTTTTAATACCATTGCTGTTATTTTTACTTTGAAATTTCAGATAGCATTTGAGAGAAACAGGTTTTTGTGTTTATTAAAACGGACATTAGGTTAAATATTGAGAACTACAATTGTACGTTTATATTTAATTTAATTTTTTAAAAAAGTATCCACAAGAATAGCTAAAACAAAAAGCCTGACAATACCAACTGTTTGCAAGAATGTAGAGAAACTAGAACTCCCGTACTTTCTGGTAGGAACGGAAATTGGTTCAAACCCTCAAAAAAAGTTTAGCAGCATCTACTAAAGATAAACATGGCCCACTACTAAAGCACTATGACCGAGCAATTCTACTTCTTTTTATGCACACACACGAAATGAGTGCATAGCTTCACAGAAACTCATGTTTATAGCAGGTATATTCAAGATAGCCAAAACCCAGGAACATCTGTAATGTCATCAACAGGAGAATAGAAAAGTAAATTGAGATATATTAATAAAATATTACGCAAAAAGATGCGAGTTCCACAGGGCCAACTGGAGGAGTTAGGTGTGCTTGGATTTGGGTATACATGGGCATCCTGGAACCATTCCCCATACCAAGGGACGACTATCATTGTATTTATTTGTTCATTACTGACATGTTGTCTTGATATGGATTGTTTTTGCCAGAGTATTCATATGCAACTTCTCAAATACACTTATACTTGATAAGTACATCTATACTTAGGTAAACATTGTGCCAGTTACCAATGTATTGCCTCTCTGCTCCAATTCATATTTACATATACACTCTGTGACAATTGACAGACTCCTTTAAGCATCTCCACAGAGCAAATGTTCTGTTTTTGCAGTAGAGGGCGCCGAAGAGGCACCGTGAGCAGGACCGTGGTCTCCCAGTGTTTCTGGCTGCTGCGCGGAGTATCTGTGATCTTGCAGCCTCGGTCTGGACTGGCGATAACATTCCTGAGCAGCTTTTGCACGAGGAAACGGACACCAAAGGCCTGTGGCTCACCCCAGGTGCCCTAAACCACCACTCACTTTGCTACTGACGTTTCCTCCCGCAGGTCCCAGCACCTGCCTCCATTCCCACCCATTGCAGATTCAGGCACACCTCACCTGTATCCCAACCCCTAATCTCTCTATGCAAGCGCACCCTGATCATTGATTACTGTGTTCTACATGCATTCTAGAGAGTTACTTCCTACTTGCCCAGGACTGCAGACCAGCTCTGACTAGAACAGACCAGCAAGCTTCTTTGCTCTCCAGTGTGCTGAACTACACCTTCTCTAATAAGATCTGAACTCTTATTGTCCTTCCTTGTGTACCTGCCCCCTGGCCCCAGGTCTAGAATACCACAGTTTTCCTTGTAGTTGTTCTTTTATCGAAGTTTAATAAATCTTTGTATTAAATTTAACCCAATGTGTGCTTTTAATTGTTATTTGGACCCTGACTGACACAGGCACTGTATACATTTTATATCAATTTTACTTGAAATACTAATAAGACCCAACCAAACTTCAGGAATGAAAAGAAAAAGGAAAAAGAAAAAATATCGCGAAGTGCAAATTTACCAGGCAAAATAAGAAAGCTGTTCTGCCATGGGTAGGGCAGAGGAGAATTAGAAAAATTAAATTATCACATTGACTTTCCTAGTCAGCCCTAACTTTAGGGGACTGAATCCTTTTTTACACTACTTAGTAGTATTCAAATTTAATGATTAAAAAAGTATTGTATAATATGAACTTCATTAAAATAAAGTAATTTGAACAAAATGGGACTATCATTTTACTTTTCTAGAATAACGTTTATAACAGAGAGAAAATAAACTAAGTACTCATTCATATTTAATATACATTTTTTCAAATACTCAGCTAAATAATTTGTCAATCAGTAAGTAATGGAGTCTAACAGATACTCAGTATTGTCAGGCACTGGACAGACATACTCAGAGATGGGAAGGGTTCACTGTGTGTAAAGTACAAGGGTAAGGATAAAGAGGTCATGAAGTTGCTGAGAACTGAGAAAATGATTAAGGGAAAGGTGAGATTTGAATGGAAGGAGGCATTCTGAGTGGTAGGAATGTCATGAGTCAAGGTTTAGATACGAAAATAAGCATAGCCTGTGCTTGGGATGGGAACAGATAAAATTCTGTTGAATACACAGCCAAGGTGATAAAAAGGGTTAGCAAAGACCTTTAAAACAGAAGTAGAAAAGTTTGGTCTCAATGTTGACAATAGGTAACCACTATGAGGTTTAAGAGAAGGGAGGTAACATCGTAAAAGCAATATTTTTCAGGAAAACTAATATAGAGATAGGATGCTTTAAGATGGGGAGGGCCTTGTAGTAGAATGGCCAACTAGAATTAAAATTGTAAGTAAGTCTGACCCCTGGTTTAAAAACTTAGATGTGCAAATAATAATCACATTTCAGTAATTCTAATCTTTCAATCAACTTAATTTGAGCTCTTGAGTTTTATCTTTCCAGGATTGGTTGGAAAATTTACCTGTTTATTAATCACATGAGGAAACATTTATTGATCCCCTATTATATCCCAGGCACTTTCCAGGCACTGGAAATGAGCAATACATGAAATAAAGGATCTGCACTCATGGAATATTCATTTTAGTAGAGAAGACAGATAATAAAAATATAATGTCAAATTATGATCTGTGCAGGCGGATAAGGGGAAGACAGTTTGAATTTAAATCAGGTAGTTCCAGAAACCACTGTAATAGGGTAAAATTTGAACAGATACCTGAATAAAGGGACAGCATAAGCCACTGGACACTGGGGGAAGAATTTCCCCAGAGGAGGAAATGGAAACTCTAAGAACCAAGAAAAAGTAATATATTTGGTGTATTTCAGGAACAGCAGGCAGGCTCATCTGATTAAAAGAGAATGAACAGGCAGAAGAGTTGTAGGCAATTAAATTGCAGAGGTAATCAAAAGTCATTTAATAGGCAGGACTATGGTGGGAATTTTTTATTTAATTTTAAGCAAGTTGAGGCAAGGGAGTGACATGATCTAATAATGTTTTTAAATGATCACAGTGGTTACTACAGGGAAATGGACCATTGCTGGAAGGGAAGCAAGAGTGAGATTAAAGAGACCTGTTAAGAGGCTACTGTACTTGTTTAGGTGAAAGGTGGCGGTTTGGACTAGGAGTAGAAAAGGTGAGTTATGGTCAGATTCAGGTTATATTTTGAAGATTGAGTTGACAACATTTACTGACAGTTTAGATATTTATTAGGTATGAGACTAAGAGGCAAAGAAAAGATGACCCAAAGTTTTTCACCTGAAGGAGTGGTAGGTGCCATTTACTAAGATAGAGAATATTAGGGAAGGAATGGATTGGAGGACAATATCATGAGTTCTGTTTAGGGTACATCAAGTTCTCACCAAAGGATATATCAAGTATGTAGTTGAATATGCAAGTCTGGAGTTCAGAAGAGAGAGTGGAGATACAAATTTGGCAGTCTTCAACACGTAGACATTATAAAGTGTCATAAGATATATGAGCTCACTTAGGGAGTGAATATGATGACTACACAATACTTTGATATTTAAAGACCTGACGATTAGGAGAAAGCAAGGGAGATGGACGTTCAGGCAGAGAACTGACCAAAAGCCAGGTGAAGAAAGTGTTTCAAGAAAGAGGGAGTGATCATTTCCGTCAAGTGTTACCAAGTGGTCTAGTAAGTCTTGGACTGAGAACTGACCATTAGATTTAGCCATATAGGGGTCATTGGTGACCTTGACGAGAGGTTTCCGTAGAGTGGTAGTAGCAAGTCTTAATTCTATCAGATTCGAGAAAGAACAATAAGAAAAAAATTCTACAAGAACAAATGCTATGAAAGAGTTTTACGAGAAAGGAGAACAAAGAAGCGGTGTTAACAGGAAACAGAAATGGGGTCAAGTATCAGGTGTTAATATTTGAGGCATTGTACACTATTGGGACTATTCCACAGAGAAGGAAAAAATGATAACACATGGGAGGTGGAGTGGAAGAGAGTAGAAAAGAAGATCTAGGAACTTTTGCACCAGTGAAAGTTGTAAACTTTCTATAGGAACTTGTAGTATTTGTCCATCTTGATATACTTATCTCAGACATTCTTCAGCCTGGCCCCCATCCTGGATACTGCAGTGGAAAGTCACTAAGATTTAATGTGATCTCCACTGCACTGGAGAATGCTTCTAGTTATTGTCATCAGAGTGCAGAGCCCACATTTCCATTTGGTATGGTTCCTTCAGGTGCAGTGGCTCTTTGTTCAGGGCTGTGTTTTGAGCATGAGACTCTTTTGGAAATTGGAAACTTCAGGTCTGGGGTCCATATTTCTCTTAGCCTTTTATGTTTCTGGACTAGAGTCCTGTGTCCCCTCCCCGTGACTATTTATTCACATATGGCAAATATCAGCCTTTTAGTTATTCTCTAAACCTTCTGATAAAATATATTCAGAGTTCATGAAGCAGAAGTGCATACAACTATCTACGTTCAGATGCCCGGTGATTTTCTACAAATGCAAGAAAATATTTCTTAAAAGTTCTTTCTAATGAAACCAAACCTCTTTGGCATATTTTTGCTATTCCTTACTGGCTACAAAACTCCTTATGTAGGTCTCAATTGCATTTGATTTCTTAGAGCCAACCATTTTTAAAGTATAATTTGAATTATTCTACCCTAAGTGTACTCCAGTGGAATTTATTCACACTGAATTTATCCAATGGAGTTTATCCATACTAAGTAAAGCCCATCCACTGGTATTTGTCCTCTTTAGGCATTGTGAAATTACATGTGAATGGAACAATGGAAATACTGGTAATGTAGATCAATTAATTATCAGGGTTTTTTTTTTTTTCAAAGTGAGGAGCTGGAAGTGACTTATTAAATTTTAAAATGAGGGGGGAAAATTATATTCCTATCCTAGAGACCCCCTGATAACAGTGGGCAAATGTTCATCCCTTGAGTGCAACTGGGTGGCTCATCTATCGTTCTTCCTGTGGAGAGTAAGCAATGATACCACTGAGGGAGATCATGGAACACCATGGATTTTGGTGCCACCAAAGTACCTGCACTCCTTGGCATCATGAATCTTTGTGACAAATCCAGGAAACAGGCTCCCTGCTCTCTGAAGAAATAACTTAAGTAGCTCTTTGGACCAAGTCCAAGGCTGCCTGAAGCTCAGCCCAGATAAAACAAAAATGAACCTGAGTGGAAAGAGGAGAAGTTGGAATCTTTGTGAGAAACCCAGGAAACAGGCCCCCTGCTCTCTGAAGAAATAACTCAAGTAACTCATTGAACCAAGTCCAAGACTGGCTAAAGCTCAGCCCAGATAAAACAAAAATGAACCTAATTGGAAAGAGGAGAAATTGGCAATCTGACAAGAAATCCAATATCAACTCTTTTAAGAACCAACATTGTCAGGCTCATGAGTAATTTTGTGGTAAATTGCTATTTTCAGAATCCCAAAGGGATACATTGATGAAAAATGCATTCTTTCATCTCTAACTAGTCAGGAAATCAAGAGCCAGACATGAAATGTAATTCTATAAAGCATTGTCCCAAATTTACTCAACATGCACTCTGGCCAGCTTAAAGTAGAAACATATGGATAACAGGCATGTTATCGCCAAGTAGAACCCCATAAAGCATTCAACTTGGTCTGTGTAGAAAGCAATCAAGCCCAATGTGATAGTGAAGTAAGCACTGAACACAGGGTCAAAAGTCCAGGCTTTGCCACTGAACTAGCTGTGTGAATTTATACTAAACTCTTCTCCTCTTTCTATTTTATTTGAAATAGTTCAAATATACCAAAAATTATAGAGAGTAATATACAGACATCTGTAGATAGCTTTATCGAATCTTAACATTTGGATCCATTTGCTTCACATTGTTTTAAAAGACATGAAACAGCACAGACAGCTGAAGTGCTAGGTATTTCTCACCCTCCCTCCCATCTCATTGTCCTTCACCCCCACAGAAGTAAGCACTGCTCCGATTTCTGGCCTCTACCATTCTCCTGGCTGACATTAAACTTCTACATCATATGTACAGATCCATAAACACGATTTAATGCTGTGGGTTTTTTTTGTAAATTTTGTATAGGTGATATTGTGTGTACATATAAAAGTCAGCACTGACCAGGTGCGGTGGCTGATGCCTGTAATCCCAGCACTTTGGAAGGTCGAGGCTGGCAGATCGCTTGAGCTTAGGAGTTAAGACCAGTCTGGGCAACATGGTGAAACCCCAACTCTACAAAAATTCAAAAATTAGCCGGGCGTGGTGGCGGGTGCCTGTAGTCCCAGCTACTTGGGAGGCTGAGGCAGGAGAATTGCTTGAACCCAGGAGGCAGAGATTGCAGTGAGCTGAGATCACGTGACTGCACTCCAGCCTGGGTGACAGAGCAAGACTCCATC